CGTCGTGGGGATAAATGAGCCAAGCGCTTGGTGTCTTTGTACAAAATTTGTGCAACATGCCCTGACATCCGTTCCGTGTTTTAGGATTTGGGGTCATTTTCCGTCGTTCCATGTTTTAGGATCTGAGGTCATTTTCCGCCGTTCCATGTTTTAGGATCTGAGGTCATTTTCCGCCGTTCCGTGTTTTAGGATTTGGGGTCATTTTCCGCCGTTCCGTGTTTTAGGATTTGGGGTCATTTTCCGCCTTTCCGTATTCTAGGATTTGGGGTCATTTTCCGCCATTCCGCCATTCCACCGTTCCGGCTTTTAGGGTCGCCCTTTACGATCCATCGCTCGTGTGTTTACATAACTGGTAATTTTAGCGTTAGCCCTTCGTCAGAGCGACAGTCGCTCTGACGAAGGGCTAACGCTCGAAACGTCAGCTTTTTTACCCTTTACGGTGGCTAATTTACGTTTTCAACCCAGTTGTTAAAACTAAATTACCTGCTATACTCTCCCACCGACGCAGCACCACAGTTTCTTTAGAAACTTACCCCTTTATTCATCTGTTTACATAACCCACGCGGAAGGAACTAATCAAGCATGAAATTCCCTTGGCAACAAAACAATTGAGCCAACCATATTTCAGCTGAACGCATCAGAATATTTCTTTGTCTTGTCGCACTTTCGAATTTTGAAAAGCGCACAGGTTAATACGCTCTTTCAAAAGTCTTTTGAAAGGATTATTGGGCTTTTTGCGACTTTGAGTTTTCAAGATCACAACTAATTAATAATCATGGAAAAATTGGGACCAGAGAAGAAAGTCTGCATAATCGAATAGTCCGGATAATCGGGGTCCGGATAATCGAGGTTCGACTGTACCTTTAATTCACGAGTAGACACAGCGCTAGCCAACTTCAAGATTTAAAATTCAGCCTCGCGGTAAGAACATATCTGCAACTATCCACTTGTTCTTCTAAGACATTTTATGAGATTTAAAGGCGAATTTCTAATGTTTACCTTAGACACTTTAAATCAAAGGACTCGATAAGAAGTAGAAAGTCCGCATATTTGAATCTGATAACAACGCTCAACGCATATTCGAGGGTAATCCGAGCAAATTTGCTTAATTGATCGTCATGTTTCTGGTAGACATGTGGAATATTTCTTCGTGCTGAATAAAAAAGTTTTTTTTACCACACGCGGTGTTGTCTCTGCACTTTGGCAGCGCTTTCGTAGAGAATCACATGGAGAAAAATGTTACTCTGCGCTTTTAGTAGAATGAAATGTACTGTATGTACTAAATATTTTTAGTAGAATGCTTTTGTCGTTTGTACCTCTTGTTCGTGCACTTCGCGGTAGAACGAGGAAGACACCGACTTTCCGGCACTTCATGTAGTGCTTTAATTTGAGTACAACTAAGAATACTCTTTTTGTTTGTGCACTTCGGTCGTGATCTGCACGGATCATACGAGCCGACACACTTAGTCATGGCAAAGGAGGCTTCAAGTCTCTCCAATGGGATTCACTAATTGACTGGAAAACTTAACGACTCATGGATGCATTCGGCAAATCGTTTAACCGTCAAGGAAAAATCTTTGACGAAATTCATGGATTGTTAGCGCAGCCTTGTGACTCGGGAATACATTAGACATTAGGCATTAGACTCGAGGCAGTACATTACACGATCCGACAAGGATTGACAACTCAGCTTTCCGAATTGTTACAAGCCGTGGTATCGGACATGGATATGGAAAATAAAATACTATCTTTCCAACTAAACCTACAAATTAAATCTTTGCTTTGCTCGCATCCAGTCAGTTTTTATTTCAGTTATTTACTTGACCTGTGTAACAACTGTCGCGTTATAATTCACGACTATAGAGGGGAGAAAAGAGTAAAATATCTCATGCCAGTGTTGGGTAAGGCATTACTAAAAAAAAAAAACTAGATTTCAATGAAAATGTTAATAACGAAGAAGAGTGCTTTCTAAGTGCGCTGAATGCCTATCTTAGATATATTTATGAAGAATTACTATTTTTTTCCGAAGAGTCGCAAGTGAACCAAATGTCTTCCCGTCAAATAGAGACTGAAATGTTCAAAATAAAAATCCGCTTACTGCTAATGAGCATCGCGGGGAAATTTTCACCGGTTGAACTGCCGAATGTATGTTGGCATGTTGTTGGAAATGAGGTTATGGCCCGGTTTGGTGTGCTAGTCATGCAGTATTTGTTAGTTACGAAGATTACTTATCACCCCCTTGTCGGTGAAATGCTAATGAACATTTACCAATACATCTATTCATATCCACTTTGGTGAATAGGTGTTTCTTCCGAATTACTCGCCTTGTCGTGATTGAAAACCATAAATGAAACTGTTCGCCTTAGTTATGGCATCAATGCAGAGAGAGATTACAGAATCCTATTGTAATTAATCGAACAATTTGTTTGGGATTTTTTACATTGGTCACGGTATCTAAACACGAGGCGCATGCGTATCTGTCAACCCCTCGTTGTTATTTTTCTGGGAAAGATATATGACGTTTGCAACTTCCTCAGTCTTCGAATTTATCTTCCTTCATATTTTGAAGAGATTAAGTTTCTGGAGAAGCATTTGTTCCACAAGCCAAACTTCTGGAGAAACTGGGTTCATGTAAGTTTCGATTTTATTCCTATAAATTTTGAATTAGCAGGAAAAGGGGGTAAAGATGTTCTCTACTCAAGGGCTAATGGCCTCTTAAAACGCGATCTTGTCACGCTATTAATGATTTCTTTTCAGCTATTCTGTTATCCTAACTGAAACCGGTTAAGTAACTTTCATCATTATCTACGACTGGAGACTGTTTTAAAGTGTGGTTGTATATGGATTTACCAAGAAGTCGCTGACGAACCGTGAAATAAAGATAAAATTTTGAACGCCATCTAAACAAAAATGTAACTCGCTTTCTCTCCGCATGCTTCAGTGGTCTTGCTTTGCTTTTAATGATCAACATCCCACCTAAGCATATACGTGTATCGATACAGAATTTTTGGCGCTTATCGTAACATACACCGAGAATTCGATTCGCGGTTGTGAGACTTTCGAAACGTCATGCTGACTCGGATCAAAGGAGATTCAGCACAAACAAATCATAATTTAAACCCGCAGAGATAAACTTGAAATTTGGTGGTTAGTTCGTAAATAATTCATAAATGGACTGATTATAGTTAACCAAAGAAGGCCAAGTTGCTGACACCGACTATACACTCTATGTTCGAAAATCATTTTTTTGGGAAGTGCATTTTGATAAGTTTTGCTGTCATTACAAGAGAGACCCGAGGTTTTATAGCTACGTTACACTTACGTAATTATTTTAGTTTAATGCTGATAGAGGTTTTTCTCACGCTCCAATAATTTAACAATTAATTTTATTAAATTTCTTTACTCTTATCGAACAGATAGTCTTGCACTGCGCTAAGGACAATTAGTTGGCAGTAATACAACATAAACATATTTATTACGGGGTCTGGGACCGAGTTGTGATATGCTAATCAGCGGTATTTTCAAGAAGCTGAGGACCTTCGTTGGGGTTCCTGATGTTTTGAACAAATTTTCGAAGACAGGGAATGTTTTCTTCCTCAGATGTAGTGTATGATGTCAGCATCAGTTGAAATTATATTTTATTGTGCCTGAGTGATAATTTCCGTTTGAAAAAAAATGGGGCCAAAATTGAAAGAAACGACGGTAAACAACTTCGAACTAAGACTTGACCGGTCGATTGAAGAGTATACACGTGAGAACAGTGAGTTTGTAAAACAATACGCCAGAATCGGGCTTCTCCTATATCTTCTCTTGAAGTTGCCAGGTATGACTGCTTGCTCCACCATTTTTCCCTGACGTCTCAACCTCCACTGATAAGCGTAGAAAATTAAAAGAAAAGTCATTTTCAACTCACGTTTAAACCTGTTATTTATTATTATTTTTTTACTTTTTCTCTTTTGGCTATTATCGTTTCATGAGTGTCCTCTGGCTGAAAATACATGGCATCTTTTTGGGATTTTTTCTGTTATTTAATTCGGTAGCCTCTGCTGTAACTGCATATAAATATAAGTGTCTTTAAGCCAGCTGTCCATGTTCTTAGCAACTCTGTCTACTGAATTACGAAATTTGTCTAACATGTTTCTTGCGTTACGTAAGTTTAAGGAGGATCCATGGGGTTTTTGGACCGCGTAAGATCTGGGTGCGAACAAAGCGCGAGCTTTAAAAGTGTCAACATGGCTGTCGACATGAAAAACAAATATGGCGGCTCGATACGATCGCACGATTGTTATCTGAAATGGTGTATTAAAAACAGTTCAACTCAATACAGTCTTATGTGATGGAATCAGGGGTTTCCCGAAACTGCTTTCGTAATATTCATAGGCCTTCCGCCCTTGAAAAAGAGGTAAACCGAAAAGGAAACACCGTGGGAAAGATTGACCGAAGGCGAAAGATTCGAAAGTTTACGCATGCTCAGATATAGATCTTGGCGAAGTTCTATTCCATCACGCAATGCTTTGCGACAAAGAAGATAGGGATCTTTCGAACAAGATTTATCGCGTTTCTGTCGGTGGAATTTCCTAAGATTTAAGATTTTAGATATATGAAAATTCATATATTTGCACTGCGGTGGAGAGATGAAATTAAGAGATCCTCGCAGCTAAGAACACTACTGAAACGAGTAGTTGTAAATAGGACCTGAAAAAAGTTCAGGCCCGTATGGGATTTGAACCCATGACCTCTGCGATACCGGTGCAGCGCTATACCAATTGAGCTAACAAGCCAACTGGGAGTTGGTCAATGAATTGGGTCCAAATAAACATCCAAGTGAATGAAGATTTTAGATGTATGAAAATTCATATATTTGCACTGCGATGGAGAGATGAAATTAAGAGATCCTCGCAGCTAAGAACACTACTGAAACGAGTAGCTGTAAATAGGACCTGAATTTTTTTCATACGATAGTCCGAACCTTGGTCATTGCCTCCTAGTGACTTTGAAAAGGAGCGCGCCAACAAGTAGAATGACATATCTGAAGTAGGCTTAAAACAGAATACAAGACTCCTTAACAAAAAGAAAACATTGAGTAAAAACGCCATAATTAGAATATCATAATTAAAACTTAATGACAAAGAGAGACTTACGATTCTACCATGAAGATATATATATAGAAATCTAGAGATAATACCTGCATTTAATTTTTACATTACAGAAATCAATTCCAAACATCAATCAAGTGTTCTCTTAAGTTTAAAAGTTGAGTTGATGTTGAGTTGGAATGGGCTCGCTCTATTAAAGAGGTTGAAAAGTTTTAGATGATATTCCCTCATTTTTGCAAATAAATGAATTTATTGGAAAGTGGAGTTGTTGTAACATGTTAACATGAAACGCAACAATAAATGTTACTGATACGTAAAAACGATTCATTGACCATCAACCGGCAAGTCTGCAAAATATCTCAACCCAAACATTTTCCACAACTTGTCAACACCATTACAAAATTTGGTTGGAAAATTAGAATTCAACGCTGGCCGGATAAACAAGATTCTTAGCAAAAGAAATGTGAACCAATGAAAAAGCTGAGAAAACTTTTTACAATACCCACCTGTGCCTGTACGGCACATATTCGAAGTATTCACAATCCTGGGTTTACTGTTGAAAACACACACACATGCAGATTTCCTATGACATGTAGTTCCAGTGTGCCATGACTTCAAAACTTCGATGCACACCTCAAAAAGAGGACAAATAAATTTTACGTTTCTATTTATTCAGTTCAGAATCAGGTAAAATTGAGTCAAACTTTCATGTTACAACAGGATCAAGAGAGGAGGATCCCTGCTTTTCCAGATTCCCAACCTTTATAACTCACATATCTTGTGACTAATTCTTTATATCGATGTTTAGTTTAGGTATGCGCATTTGTAAGAAACACCATGCACTATTGAAAGCTTGAGCAAGAGTATTTCATTTGGTGACTAACACAACAATATTATATAATCATACAATTCCAAACAAAGGAAGTCAGGTTATAGACTCACCTGCTTCAACTTTTGAGGGCTTACGGTACAGAGAAAGAGATATGTTAAACAGTTAGATTAATACAATCGATGCAGATAATAATATTGCCTTTAATTTGAAGAAACAAGAAATACTATGCTGTACATCTCTTGGTAGCAAATTACTGCTTCTTAAGTTAATCACAGATAATAGTAAGGATAACACTGGGTTTTTAATGTGGATTTCAAATTATTGCTTCAGCTGTATTTCCCAGCACAATAATATGAAAACAAAAGCAAAATTTTTAAGTATTATATTATAAGATTCAGTCCTAATGGCACACTTGACATATTTGAAAAAATGAATGACATAGATTTTCTTATTCAGTCATTAGTAGATATTGTAAAAAAACAATTCCAGAGTAAAGATGTAGAATATTGTATTAAATTTATATGTTGTGCAACTAACTTGTCAAATGCTGGAAGACAAAAGGTAATGGTAAAACACAAGTCTCATAGTCAGAAAGAACTACATGCAAAAAGGAAAAAAGGAAGCTATGCACAAATGGAACCTGCCATAAAAAGACAAGTTTTGTCTAATAAAGCAATATGGTACAAGTCACTGGATCCTGCAAAAAAAGAAAAGCTTTTATCTCGCAGAGCTGAATGGTATAAATCACTGGATCCCGAAGAAAAAGAAAAGCTTTTGTCCAAATCAGCAGATTGGTATAAATCACTTGGTTCTGCAGAAAAACAAAATCTTTTGTCCAGCAGAGCAATTCAGTATAAATCACTGGATACTGCACAAAAACAAAAGAGAGCAGAATGGTTTAACTTGCTCAATTCTGCACAAAAACAAAAAAGAGTAGAATGGTATAAATCATTGAATCCTGAAAAAAAGGAAAACTTTTGTCTGAAAGAGCAGAATGGTATAAAACACTGGATCCTGCAGACAAAGATAAGATTACATCACAAGTCCAAGTTAATAAGGAAGCCCATAGAAACTCAGTTCAACATGATTTAGGTCATAGGATCCTAGCTTTTCAAAGTAAGATTAGGGAAGGTTCATATTATATTTGCTCTGTTTGTAACAGAATACTATACAGAAAAACTGTTAAACAAACAAATGTACAACACTCAGCAAGAACTATTTACTGAGTTGTATACCCACGATTCCTTTCCGTCTTGGAATGACCCATCACTTATCGCCTGATGACAACCTTTTTTGAAATAGGTGTATGCCCTTGGCCAGACTTGAGCTCACTATTTCAGTATACTAGTCCGACACCCGTAGTATCACTACACTTGATTCCAAGGATCCAGTACCATCCAGGTATCTCAGTTACCCTGCTCACAGGGTCTAGTTTAATTCTCAAATGTTTGACGGGTTCTCACATGACAACATTCTCAAAATCAAATTACCGCCTCAGACTTAATGTAAACATGAACATCGCTGACTCAATCTCACTTTATTTCAATTTTCGGAAAGGCCATTACGTTATTCTTAAGGTAAACCCACACATCTTCGCTTTGAAATGTTATTTGAGCGATGAAATGTTATTTGAGCGTGAAGGTTTTAAAGCAATGAATGCCAAAGTTTTTACCGAAACGTGATTTAAATTATAATGTGAAGCTTTTCAATTTTTCTGGGCCTTAACGTAATAAAAAAACCCAGATAAGACTCGGCTGACCTCCTCTTCTTTCTCAATTCCTTTGAAGTTCGCTTTCTCTTCGTTGATGACCTCTTTTCAGTCTGTTTTCCGGAGCTCTTTGTATTTTCTTCTCTAGATATTCGCCTTTTTATTTTAGCCTTTTCCTGATCTCTTTCACGTTCCTCTTGCCGTACTCTGCCTATTTTAGCGTCCTTTCTAACTCTCTTTCGCGTTTTTCTCGACTTGTTTTATGCCTTTCACTTCTTGCTCTCATCAGTCGCGCTGTCTCTTTCTTTCATTCAAAACCATTTCTCCACGAACTTGAATTATAATAATTTCCTCCGGTTGACAAAGCGTCAGCTCTACCGGTGTTGTTGCTTTGCAAGTTGATTACAAATTGCAAAATACTGAGAATTACTATTCAACAACAACCTCACCAGTATGATACATACATACATAAATATATACTTTATTTAAGCTCGAAATTCAGTGTAGCTGTAGAGCTAACATCTTCGAGAAAAAAGCTAAAATGAAATAAAAATATGCTGTCTTACAATTTCAATATTATTTATAAACTATATACAACTAAAAGCTAAGAGGGAAAACTAAGAGGGAAATATAACTTGTAGATCTACTGTGGAAAAGCTTCATATCTGAGGATCTCCTGCTTGATTTCCCGCTCAAAACGCGGGTTACAAATTACCCAAGTTATGAGCGGGAAACATAGTGGTGAGCATACCCCATTACGCACATTAATGGGGTATTCAAGTTACGCATGCAATTGCGCCTGCACATTACCTTCCCCCTCACCCCTCCATTACGTAATGGCTAAAATAGCGCCCGCACTGCAGTTGGCCGCGCATGCTAAAAGTAACACGTTGTACGGTCGTACGGTCGTAAGTCCAAATTGTTTCGGCTTTATGGGTTACTATGTTCTATAAGTTATGGGCTACGCTTTGCGCGCTGCGAGCTCCGCTTCTAGTTTATTTATTTATTCATGTATTCCAAATTTTAAGAGGGAATTTGACATAATCAACTAAGCAGCTAGGAAACTGAGTACACTGTTTTTCTCCCTTTATTGGTTATTTTTCTAGAGCTTCATGGCAACAACGAAGAAACCTAAACGTTATACGAGTTGTCCAGCAGAATACAATCAAGACGTAGAAAACCCATGTGTTTCAGGCCGACAACAGAAACCTCATTATCATTGCCATATTTGTAAAACATTTACTGCTTTCAAGGTTGGTTTATCTTGATTAAATCAGACAATCATATCATTTGTAAAATGATGATAAGTAAGAACAAAATAAGGGGATTCATTTTCTCTTGGTAAGGGTTGTGAGTCCTATGAGAAGTATCTTGTTTTTTGGTTCGACTATGGGGTTACAATTAATGACGTTGGAAGGCCACAAATTTATCAGGGTTCCCTTTCTTTCCATAATTTTACGGCAGCCAAAGAGCATTACCACACACATAGAATTAATTCATGGAGAGACGCATGCCTTGCCGACCTCATCGATGACCGCTAAAAGGGAACAAATCAACGTCAGCCAGGTGTGTGTTGATTGTCAAGATTTAACAAAGTATACGACACAGTGGTGAAAAAGCCTTCGAAAGAAGCTGATAAAATGTACGACACAAGAATTCTATTACTGTTTCTAAAATGTCCGGTTTTTTTTTTCTACGCACATTTCTAGCATCAGTATCAGACTAATACATAAGTAGTTCGTTTTAATAAACGGCCTTCAAGTGATACAGTTCCTATTTGGCATACGACTTCGCAGACTTCGCTTATGAAAGGAATAAGGTATCAAATTGGAAGTTAGCTATATTTCATCGGTACGAAAAACCAGTGAACTTTTTTCAGTGCCATGGATTTGCATTCAAAATAAATTTCAATATAATGTTCACTAGCTCGTCAGTGAACTATCCTTCTAGCAACTTACACTGTTTCCTTCCGAACGATCCCAGAGTCCTTTGCGCGTAACACAAAAAATCCGATTTATCCGATCAATGGCAACCCATTTATCGAGCTGCGTTACTGCACGCAGCTGGTCGACAAGAAACATGACTAGCTAAAGATCCAACGCGACTAACCGATAAAAAAAGGCATTGGCGCTACTTTCCGCATTTTGTTACGCCATGCTTCGGTAGCTTAATCAGTTCGATTTGACTTCAGTTTTGCTGTTCTAGTTTGTCCACAAAATGATGCAAAACCTTTTAATCGGTAACTGCAAGCTGAAGTTTTTAATGCTTATTTATAAGTTTTGGCTAAAATCAAAAAAGACAAATCAGACTGAAAAATCAAAAACTATGATATTGTAATATATATTTAAAAGTTTGCTAACCCTTTCGAGACAAACGTTAAGAAGCGCTGATGATTAAAGAATTTTTGGTTATTCAGTTCAGTTTATTCCGAGAGATAAAGAGAATTTTTGAATGAGTGACAAGTTTAACAAAAGCAGAGGAGGATCAAGTCAGTTATCATGGCCTATACAATCAAAATTTAAATGATTTTAACTGTAGTTGATCTGTGACTGAGTTAATTTATCCACGGTTGTCTCCTACAAAGGTCAATATACGACTCATTTCATAAGTATTGTGTGGTATACCTGGAAAATCTTTAAACATATAAGGATAGGCAGCAAATGCAAATGCTAGTTACTATTGGAAATATCATCAATAACACAAACGCTAAGTAAAGAGTCAAAGTCTTCTTAAGAAACCTAAACAGCCAACTTTCGTTCAAAAGATTACCAGTAAGCTCGATTTTGTAGTGTGCCATATAATATTGCTCTAGTTGCCTCATGTGTTTGTATCACAGATGGTTACCGAAGATGGTGGAAGCAGAACTTTTGAGGAAGCCATTTCGACGGCAAGTCAGCCTGGAGATTCCAACAATAACGAAATTGAGGAAGACAGTAATTGTAAGTACAGATAGCGAATTTCAATTGGGTTGCATCACACCCATAACATCACACGGGTTCAAAAGCGCCAGTATAAAAATTCTCCGCTACAAACCTTGAAGATATGAAACAAGTGCATCCTAAGCTTTAAACTTCCTTGACAGGACTGCATGCAATTGGCCATTTCCAAGTTTTCTTTTGTTAGAGATCTAGGTTGGGTTGGATAATGCTACCCAGTTAAAGGCCCATTTTCACCCTTGATGCAACGCGCGCCACGACCCAATTTCGTGTAACACGAAATTCTCAGATTACTGAAAACCTTCTAAAATCGTCTTTCTCGTGAGCCATCCTGGACATATAGTCGTCTGTTTTACGGTTAATACATTTTTTATAATACAAGAAAATTTTTTTTAAGTGTCACGCTAGGAGCTGCACGTACACTGTGTACAGCGGGGTCGGCGAAAAGGACAACGTTGGAATTTTTTCAGTTTCTAGAAGCGCTTGAGGATTCTAAATAAAGATAAAATATTTTCCAATAGAAATTGGTATTTTTCAAAGAGAAATATGGAAAAATATCAGACTGCCGGACGTGAAGTTATCCGAAGACCGTGTCCGGTAGTGTTCGCAGAAAATTTTTTAAGTGTCACGCTTGGATCAACATTTTGACCCTCCGCAGAATATATTCGCAAGGATTTTCGTGGTCCTCTTTAGCAACAACCGATCCATAAGCGTTTACTGCCTCAGAATCTGCTAAATCAATGGATTCATCTGATTCCATACCCGGATTAAAACGTATGGTACTGTTTTAAACAGAAATATTTTGACAAGTTCACCAAACTCATCAGGGAGTACGCAGAAGCTATTTTGAGACAACGTGACAAGGTAAAAATAACTGACCAATCAGAGGCGCTATTTAAACAAAAGCGGTGGCTCAAAACAAAAACAAACGACTGCGTTGCATCAAGGTTGCAAATGGGCCTCTAACAGATAAATCACTTTCTGGCGGATAAGTGTTAACAGAACATACTGTGATATCCACTGGAAAATAATTTCTCCAGAGGATTTCATTATCCACCCTTTGAACAACCGGGGTCAGGTGCCGAAATTACGACGCGAGAACGAGGCTGAGTGCGAGGTCGTTCCCCAGGCTCGAAAATATAATCTCTCAGGGAGAATATTTTTGTCATTGTAACGAACATCTCGTGATGTTTCCAGAATGGTTTATTGTTCGGTTGCTTGCGACGCCAATAGATTCGTCGTGCTCGTGTTGGTGTTCTAATTCCATAGGGTACATGGAGTTGATGATGTATAATCAAAACCTAGCCATGCCATATTACTAACGGTTCTTGAATTTAATTTCCTATCGTGCCATTGTGTCTAAGCTTTGTCATGTACCATGATATCTTTCTAGTAATGTGTGTAAATCACTTTGGGTGCGCGCTCATTGAACGACTATTTTGTGATTTTGATGACGAATTGAGTCAAATGGACTCATCCAATATATTTAGACGTGAACCACGAAAACTGTGGCTGGTGCAAAAGGTCGAGGCTTCAGAAACCGATAAACTTCTTGAAGAAAGCAACTCGTCCTCTTGTCATTCAATTCCTGAATTCAAAACAAAAATATTTCGAAAAGGAACGTTAACAGGATAGCACGATCAAGGAAATTTGCTTACTAGCTTTCTTATCTGTATCCTGATCATTAGAAAAAAAAACCTTAATCTTCGTCCCCTACGAGAGAGATGTTAGCTAAGCCCTTCGAGCCTTTTTTACCAAACCGTAAAGGACTGGTGACTCTACAGCTTACAAAAGCCTCAGGTCTGGGAGAACGTCCGATATTCTGAGAGATCAACTGAGTGAACTGCTTGCGACACGGGTTATAAAAAAGTTCCCTTTTATCAGAAACAGTCTTCACAGCCACTGTTTCTTGTGCCAGGAAGGGAGGACCTATGTATCGTGTGATGAAGCTAGGCTATTATAGTTTTTTCCAGATAATAAAACTTTGTTTTTACCAATGTGTTCATGACAAATATAAGGATGTAAACTTTTCCGTAACAATTCACCAGTCTTCGTTTCATTTGGGCCGGAGCATGTTGTTAGCTCACGGCCCCTCGATCGGTCTTTGCTCCATCCAAAGAATATTCAAAACCCTATTAAATCGGTACTAGCCTTCCTCACAAAGAATTCAAACCTAGTCCGGCCATATAAATGAATAACTAGATGACTCCTTTCTATAACCGCAACAAAAGAGGAAGCTATCCAAAACAAGACGTTCGAAATGAGCAACAAAGTACTTGAAACAAGAACTAAAACCTAAACAAAACTTCCCATTGAGGACTATCAGCAAGGTCTAGGAAAAACCCAAACACGAATAGCGATGAGGATTATCGTACAACGATCATACTCTATTAAAACAGTCAAGGACACATCTCTCCAAAGGTAAAAATGAATGTGTGGTCTTGCAGCATATGACAAACCAAGGCTCACAACAATCGCACCAGGATTTTCAGATAATTTTACAGGCCTTTGCATGTAATCAAAGAACACGTGGGTTATTCAGAACTTGAATTACTGCTATCATTAAAGCCAGCTGTTCTTCATTCTTAGTGCAATGTCAAGAACAGTTACCAGAAGACACCGATAACGTCGTCGCTATTAGAGATGACGGCTTTGAATATCGAGGTTTGTTTTACCTGATTGCTTCAACCTGGTTTTTGAAATTTCATTGCAGTAGCTCTTAGTTGATTCTCTATTCTTACCTAGAAGATAACTTACTTTTTAAGAAAGAGGGAAAAAAAGTGAAAGTTCTTGCAAAACTTTATCACTTTCGAGAAACTATTTGACACGCTTGAAGAAGACTTGAAACGCTGAAAGGTAGTTCTACATCATTCATTCTATTTACGGGGGATAGTGATACTGGTATGAAAAAATGAACGGGAAAGGTATCAAAGCATAAATAGTTTGTGTAAAAATAGTTCCCACTTTCAATACAAATAGAGTGATTTATAGCACAATAAACCATTTAAAGTTTTCTGGGTGTACTTAATTTTCAAATACTTCATCATATTTTTCAGAGAAATTTCTTCGTGCTAATGAACCAAATAAAATGGTAAGTTCGAACTTTGTTTAATTTGAAGTAACATCAGAATCAGGATGATAATTTAAGACCTGTTTGGGTTTTTAGCTTTTCTTTTCATATCTGTGAAAATGATAAGATCCATTCGTTGCGGTTGTTAATTACCTTCCATTTATAACATTTTTTCCTCGTTATCGTAGGATTACGGACAAGAGTATCGTTTCATTCTTGACCTTCTGCTGCTGGATTTGCTTAAAGCCTCTAAAGATCAGACAATGACGCTGAGTAGCATGGAGGAAGAGGTGCAACAACGAACTGGCGTAGTCTTTACTGCTTTACACGATATTGTTGTTGAAACTGAGTTTGGTTCACAGGGCGTCGAGGACTTCATAGACAACGATTCCCACTTCTTAAAAATGGTCAATTTGACGGAAGAGATAAAGGCAAAGAATGAAATGGAAATTGAAAATCCATCAAATCAAGTGGAGACGAAGATCGATCTTGCACACGCTCGCTGTCGTTCTTGTAAGGATTACGTAGAGAAGTGTAGACAGGTTCCAAATGCTACCACGGCCATAATTGGAGAAAGCACCTTTGACGACGAAGCGGCAGTGGAGAAGTGGCCATTCGGAGTGCTCAACATTCTTTGTTGGTTTTGTCCAAAAATTCACCACATAAATATTACCGGTTGTAAAAAATCTGGTGACTTTCCAAGAATCATTGATTATCTGGATCCTTCATTCCTTGTCCATTGCAAAGACGCTGACGAACAAATTCGAAATATCATATCAGAGGATTCGATATCAACCTTCGTAATTCGTAAGGGTTGGTCTCTTCTTCATAGCGCCGTATTTCTTGGGGACGTTAACCTGACAAAGGAGCTTCTCGCCAAAAGAAGTTGGGATGAGGAAGATATTTTTAAAACTTCAGTAGAGTTGGCCATTTTTTTGCACAACTGCGAGGTTTTGGAATTGTTTAGAGAAGAAAAAAACATTGATAGTTTCATGAGCCCGTTAAGACTAGTTGAACTGAGTCTACTATCGTCCTCCCTGTCTACTGACGTCCACCCTGTAGAAGTAATAATCAACAACAAAGACGTCTTGCAAGCAACAATGGATGCGCACAACTCTTCACATCATTGCAGTTTTATGAAACTGCTTCGCACATTTTACGGAAAGGATGACAAGGATTCAAAACTAAAACTTGAACTTCTAGAGGGAATATTACGAACGATACGGGCCAATGCAAGATTAGATCGTCCTCCACTGTTTTCATGCTGGAACGAAATTGCAATTCGTGACACTGTGGAAGAATTAATGAAAGAAACTGGAAGCTCATCCAGCGGCGAAGTGGAAGGTAATCCCTACTTGATGTTCGCTATACCCAACGTGCCGCTGGCTAGCTTTCTTATCGATAAAGGTGCCTACATCGACCAGACGGATGGTTCAGGGTGTACAACTCTTTTTCAAGCTGTGAGCGAGTGGCTGACTCGTCCCTCTTCTCAAATAGAAGTATTCGTTTACTTTTTACTTGTTAGAGGAGCTAATCCCAATTTGAAAAATAACTGTGGAGAAACTCCACTTGCAAAGAGTTTGTCGACATTTGAGGCCATAAGGAATAAGGATCATTTGCTAGAAATTTGGCGTTGTCTCTTAGAATCCGGAGCTAAGGCCAAAACCAAGGACGACTCTGATAGATCTCCCCTTCATATACTTGTAAGCCCATCTCGCAAACTATCACCTACATGTAAAACTCTATGTGAAGGCATTGAACTCTTTCACAAACATGGATGCGCAATTAACTGTAGAGATGCTGACGGGAACACTCCACTGCATCTATGGGCGAGGTTACCAGTTAAGAACAAAAACAACGAGGAAGTTGGAAATAGAATAATCGACTGCGGAGGAGCCGTCAATTCAAGAAATGACAGCGGGGAGACACCGCTGCATCTCGCACAGTTCTGGGAACAGGTAGATTTGTTACTAAGACAAGGAGCACAGCCAAACGCGCAAGACCTCAGCGGAGAAACCTCTTTACACAAGTTCGTTAACAGAGAGACTTTAATAACAGATAAGGTAAAGGTGGGTCGATGGAAGAAGTGCTTTACCTCTGGAATAGATCCATGGGTGAAAAATGAAGATGGAGTATGCCCATTTCAAGTTCTCTTAGAAAAGGGCTTTCTGAAAAGCTCGTTGAGGCTACTGAAAGTAATTTTCGAACACTGTGATAAAGAAACGTTTGAATCTGTACGATGTTTTAAAGATTCCGAAGGGAACTCCCCACTGCACTTGGCTTGTATCACTCAAGCTGAGGCCATCTGTGAGTATATGCTTCAAAAAGGGTTTGACGTGAACAAACAAAACCATCGTTTGCAGACACCGTTGTGTTTGGTATGCAGCAGGGTGGGAGGATTGCCACTGAAAAACATCCAAAACTCCATCCTTTTACTACGGAAATACCACGCTGATCCCAAAATACCAGATGCTGATGAAAACACGTGCCAGGCGTTGCTCAATGGGCATGAGGACCTAAAGAGATTACTGCGAATAGATATCGAGAAAGAGCCAATTTCACCCATTATGAAGTGGCGCAAGGCGTCCGAAAAGCACAAGGATGCACTCTGTGACATTTCCTGTGGCCAAAACTGTCAAAGAGTTGAAAGCTATTATCACCACAAACGCTATATTGGCAAAGGCTCGTTTTCGTTAGTCTTTCCTGCTCTGGATGAAAGAGATGGGAGAGAATTAGCACTAAAGCGACTAGAAAAAGCCAGGTTAGAAGATGCGAACTTCAGAAGGGAGATTGAATGTCTCATGAAACTTAATGATTGTCCAGCTGTAGTAAACTACATCTGCAGCTTTAGCAGCTCCGACTTCCAATACATAGTTGTTGAGCTAATGGAAGGAACACTGGATGAATATCTCTGCACAGAGCATGAGGGAGTAAATGCAGTTGGGATCTGTTTTGACATATACTCTGGTATAGAGTATCTACACAAAAATGAAGTTATTCACAGAGATTTAAAACCTCAGAACATCTTGTACAAAACTACGCCGTCGCTAAAGATGAAAATTGGAGATTTTGGGCTGAGTAAAATTCTTCAGACGACGAAATCTTTTAGCTCGAGTGACACAGTAATGCACTCAAGGGTTGGAACAAAGTGTTGGAAAGCTCCGGAACTCCTCGCAAATGACGGTCAAAGCAAGTATAGCAAGGAGTCTGATATTTTCAGTTGTGGTTTGCTCTTCCACTACAGCCTATCCAGAAGAAAGCATCCCTTTCATGACTTGAAAGAGTCTCCAGGACAGATGGGTTCCCCGAATACAAATGAGAACATAAAAGATAACATCAGAAAAAATAAGACATACTTTTGTCCCTCTCTTTCGGCGGAGGCTGTCCATATTCTGAAAAGAATGTTGTCAACCACACCTAACGAAAGGCCAACGGCTTCCTCCCTCAAGACCTTTCCCTTATTTTGGGATAACGCAACGAAGATGAACTTTCTCAAGAAAGTGGCAATGGAGAATGAGTTCAAAGAGCTTAGATCTACTCTCACTCGCCGGTTGACCGATGTAGAGAAAAAATTAGAGAAACAAATGAAAAACGCTCTTCCGTGGACGTCAAACAGTCTAATCAAAGATATACATTTGGAGGTCACAAGTAATTCTAAATGGAGAAGTGAGTACGACACAAATTCGGCTGTCGAACTCGTGAGGTTCATAAGAAATGCGCACGACCACCCCAAACCTCTTTCGAGAAAAGTCAAATCTTTACTGGCTAAAAATGTTTTTCTAGAACATTTTCCTCATTTGCTTACGGACGTTTTCGAATCATGTCAACAGTGGAAAAATAGAGCAGAACTCAAATCATTTTATGAGTAGGTTACACTAGCACGTACCGATGGAAACTTTATACTCACCACGATCTATTTCACTTCGGTAAATCGGACACGCACACCACGGTCTCTTTTTGGCTTTGGATACTGAGTGTACCATTTGATATCTTCACTTGCTGTTGTATTGCTGATACCCCACATACAAATACCCTAGACAACATATCAACACAAAGCTCTCCACGTGTCTCTATCCAAGCAGTCTCCGAGTAACTAACTTTGATCAGCTTCACAGCGGTGACAATGGCTTATCTCACAGAAAATAAGTTGTTTAAGATTATCCCGAGGTATTTCGGGGAACAGTAAAAATAGGACATTGTGGAGAGTGCTGAGCAAGTTGTTCATTCCCTAACGGTGTTTAAATGTAAGCTGAGTCAGGATTAACATTTGCTTGAACAATAAAGGATTGTTGATTGATGTTAAGAAAGTTTTTGCAGCGTTCCTTGAACTATACCGGGCACGTGGCTGATGAAACTCCGATCAGCAGTTGAGGGGCTTGAATGAAATGATGAGGAGTCTGAGTTAAATTTCGAGTCACTCCAGGATTACTCTGTGAACTGCGGCGAACTTCTGGAAGCTTGAAAGGGAAAGGTAAAACCCACAGGTTTTCCTGTTTCCAGAGATAAATCGATTCGAAAGAGGAAAGTACCAGAACACACCGTCTGAAGACATGTCAAATATTTCATGCAAACACACATGTTTGTTGGTTGAGGTAGTATAAGATGAACTTTGCCTTTGATAAATGCTGTAAAAACCAACCCCTCTCCTAGCCCCAGTCCACGCGGCTATCCGTATAAGTTTGACTTTCGCGCGGATCATGCAAATGAAAGATGTGAGCTCGACTTGAAATGTAATCGCACGTAACGTTACATTTATGCCAGCCGTATTCCAAAATCGTTAGGTAAATTGCCCTTTCGTCTAGTGTCTTTTATTTCTTATGTTATTAGTATTTTCTTTGTTATTTCCAATCTTGTAATTAGTTGTTCCATTCTTAATGTATTATGTTCGTAATCAGTCCAGGCCATAACCATTTCTGGATACTTGATGACGTCACCAACATGGATGTCGTAGTGGGACATCGAGGAAACTCACTCATTACTTTATTCGAGCCCTAGCGACTTAGTTCCCTACCCATATCCCATGAAACCTTGCAAAATTACAGAAGACAAGCAACTACACACAACAAGCAAAGAGCTGGTGGTGGTCGCGATGACGAGAAGGAAAAATTCAGATGAAAAGTCGGGTGGAGGTCCATGTTGCGAAGGGCTCGATCGAGGAATAACCTCTATTTAGTTGAGGTTTTCAGGTATGCAACATTTTTTTTGATTCCTAAAAAAAATATTTTAAAAAACTAGAATAAATTTGCTTCCAATTTGTCAAAATTCCAATCGAGTGCACGAGGTTTTTGCTCGAGTGCACGAATGTTGAAAGTCTGTTAGTGTGCAAACTACCAGACGGATTCCTTTGTTCAGATCCATTGGAGTGTTGTGTAAACCATAAATTTTAACCATACGTTGTGGCCGACCAATTTAAAGTAAAAGGACAATTATTTATGGGACCTTTATAATCCTACATTGTGAATTTCAGATCAAGCCAACAGCATGGATGAACACATTCAGTATCTCGAGAAACTTTGTTGTCTTTGTGGCACAAATCTGCCACGGACCTGGGTCAGTGCTACAAACAAAGAATCTTTTAAATCGGAGCTCTGGATGAAATTTCGAATCAATGTAGATCTTGACATCAGAGAGATTCATTCAGCCAAGGCGAATGCACACTAAAAAATAATTTCAGGAAACCACGGATCTAACACATAAATGTGATTATCCAGCGAGTAAGTTCTCCTTCGGCCAAACATAAAACAAAGAGGTATTTGTTCACTGAGCTCTCACATCTTTAGGTGGCGTATCCGGGAAATGTGCGATAAGAGCGGCATGAAGATGAAAATAAAGAAATCACATCGGTGGAAAGCCTTGCCGAAGTGTCTCTATTACAGCATTCCGGAAACAAAGGTTAGAGTTTAACTACACGAACTGATGAGAGTGAAATTTTCGTCTAAAACCACAAGGGACTTGTCTGTAATTGTGAAACTCGTTTAGAAACACCGCTCGTGCTTTCACATTTTGCAGTGATTACCTAAACAAACTTTCTATACAGGGTGTTCAAATCAAAGGGTAATTGTAGAGGACATATTATTGCTGACTAAAAGCTGTAGGACCGAATTTGTAGTGTTCTGAGACCTAGATTCTCCCGCGAATCGATCAATAGCGCGTAAAATACCTTGTATGATTCTCTTGCGTTGAATTCGATCATGTGTATTCGTCTTAATATAGATTGTGACTACTTGATTTTATTTTATCCCACTCATGTTTTTATTGGCGTTTATTTTCCAGGTATCATAATTTCAAGATCAAAGCTCCACGTGGATCACCGCTTGTTATTCAAAGTGAAGACGACGACACGTATGACTCGCATGCACTGGCTTGTCTTCTTCCACGAGAAATGGAACGCATTCCAGAGGCTTTACGAGAAGTCCAGATTTTCAGCAAATCGCAGAGAAAGACATACACTTTAGGAGGTGTCAAAGGGCAGCAGTTCAGCACTTTCTAAACATACAGCTGCATGCTTTGCTTCGATGTGGCAAAATAACCAGGAATTAAAGGGTGAGTTACTGTTTTCTTGCTTTACTGTTACTTTTTCGTAAAGGCTTGCTGGACTGAAATTGATAATGTCTATTTAAAAATCGGAAAGAAGTAAGATATTGTCTTTCCTCGACCTATACTGGAGAGAAATCAAATTGTCCCGATTCCGCGATCTCACACCTCACTCGTCCCAATTGTTATCAGTGCGCGTTATTTGGTTCAACTTTATTTAATTGGTTTTCTTGTAACCCAAAATAGGGAAATCAACGGAGAACGGACAGTAACATCGAGGTCAAGCTTTACCCAGAAGTTCTCCAGATACAAACAGGCTGGCGGAGGAGCTTTTATTCCTGTGACGCTCTTGGTGGAAGGACCACAGCGTTACAAAGAATTTGTGCTAGAAAGAATCCACTTTACTCTTCCAGAATGCGAGAATGTCGAGGACATGCATGTTGAATGTTTGAAATAAACGAATATTTTTAATGGTACCTTACGTCCAGTCCTTATTAGCGAATTTTGTTTCAGCTTACTACCTTACTACCGCATTACAACATGGCCGCCACAAAAAAAAAAAAAAAAAAAATTAGCTTTTTCTTGTTTCCATTACCTCTCGGCCAAATTTGCTTTGTTTTGGTTTTGATCTCACCCAATCACAACGAAACCGATATCCAGAAATGGTTATGGCCCGAACTGGTAATACTTTACTTAGAAACCACTGGCAATGGAGTGTAAATAGAAGCGTTCGGTCGAGTCTTCAGGAAATTAGACTCTTCTTAAATTTACTGCTGGGCGTCGGTTATAAATTCAATGGCGAGCGACCATTGCAGATTTTAGAGTAATTTTAGGAACAAGGGCACGAGCAAACTTTTATCGGGCTTGAGGTTCTTAGCTACATCCAAGCCAGTCGTAAGTTCACTGATCTGACTTGCGTAGTTTGACATCTTTCTCCTCCCCAATGCCACTCGAGCATCTCTCTCCCACAGTTAAGTTGGGAGGTGCTCGCATTGCCCAATAATACAATCCGTGATGAGCTTCCGATTTTAATATGCAACGTTTCTCGACCAAAGAAATGCATTACGGCTTTCACATAAATTTCGATAAGTCCACCGATCTAATAAGCACCCACCTTCGACCTGAGGTCCTAAAAATCAATTTAGAAAAGCGTTTGCAGTATTTAATCTAAAGGTTTTGTCCCTTCCTGGACACAAGTAGATATCACCGATGTAATCCTTTAAAATTGAACTAAGAATTAAAATGCTTACAACCATCGTCCTTTTCTTTCTTATAAGATCATTTTTAAACTTCGTCTCATTTTTCAATTACTTATTTATTAGCATATTTCGTTTGCTTTCTTTTACTCCAAAGGACTCCACAAGTAATAACAAAGCAGTAAAAGAGAGTGAGTGGGTCTGAGAGTGATTTTAAAGCTTATTTGAAAACTGTTCTTCTAAATTATTTCCTCGATCACCACGGCCAATTTTTCCACTGCAGAAGACAACAGTTTTTCGTTGTAGTGAGCGATACTCAGCCGAATGCAGTTTTTGATCCTATTAGTAATGGATGAGAATCTACAAAAATAAGAATATAACAAAAGGAGAATCAGGACTCAAGAGGGAGAAAGTATGTTTATGGAATACATCAAACCTGATGCAAGTAACAAAAGTTAGGCACCATTATAAACTGGGTAAACTTGTTCTAGTTGCAGATCATGTTTTATTACACTTACCTTCAACCTTCTGAATGTATTCTTTATTTTACGAGCCATTTTATAAAATAGGGAAGAACTTGTACAATACTGCGCCGATCAACTCAAAGCTTCAACCCGCCCTTCACCTACGGGCATTTGACTGTCGACCGTGCCTGGGGTGGGGAACTTAAACTTTCAAGTGTTTGGGTGGGGTGAGAAATATGAACCAGAACTGTCAAGTCTTTCTAGCGGAATAAACGTGTTTTATCTTTTAATATGGAGGTGTTTTAATGTAAAAAGTTCACCTTCGCAAGTAGATGGCTCAGGAGAAAACGTCTAGAAGAAAGCCAGGGATGGTAATCTTGCCTTTTACAAAAAGATTGGTGATCAATTCCGGCGTTTGGCTAGGGCATTTGAACACAGTTTTGCCTGGGGGCGTGAATTTGAACGAACCAGTCTTCAAAAGTTCAAAAGCCAGGGGGTTGCCCGAATTGATCGAAACATAAGGAGACCTGACCAATTTGCATCGTCCCCAAAAAATCGATTCAGTGCTATGCACTTGTGAGTAGCACATCTACATCTTTACTTAAGCTTTCCTCGCGCCGTCTTCGCGTTCCCACGCAAAGATTCCGACTTCTCCAGCTGTTAGGATTCCTATAACCAATAAATTGGCAAGAACTTTTCATGCTTATTCTAGGCTTTAAGTCAGTGGGGAAGAACGAAAGATAGCTGGCTAGCCATTTCACCAACGACCGAAGCCACTTGCTTGCCACTTTAGCATACCCACTTTTTCCCTTTTTTCCACTGACTGCTTATTAAATAAGTGTTAAGTCTTGTGGCACTAAAATATTTTTCTGAATGCTGGACAAACTACATCCTACACACCTTTAATTCCACCCACCCCTCCCCCTAAAAAATTGTGAATTTGAACGTTAACCTGCTTTTTAGGCTGCAACATTACTAAATAAGGGAGGGAAGAGGAGGGGGAGAGAGAGGGAGAGAGAGAGAGAGCTGGAGAGGGAGAGAGAGAGAGAGCTGGAGAGGGAGGGAGAGAGAGAGAGAGAGAGAGAGAGAGAGAGAGAGAGAGAGAGAGAGAGAGAGAGAGAGAGAGAGAGAGAGAGAGAGAGAGAGAGAGAGAGAGAGAGAGAGAGAGAGAGAGAGAGAGAGAGAGAGAGAGAGAGAGAGAGATGATAAACAAATGAAACGTGGGGAAAAGAGATGCAGTTCTT